CACATTCACATCATCACAAACAAACAGGTAGTTGTTAGAACATTTTATAGGTAATCATGAAGGTATTTTAATTTTAACGGTTGAACCCCGCCGGTTGTTTGTGAGTTGTTAGTAATCATTCTAAAAAGCTTAGTGGAACTAGCGCAACGAGCCATCTCATACTTGCAGCTTTATTTTTAAAATAACGAGGCTTTTGTATGGTAGTCTTTCAGTACCAACACAAGATTAAATGTAGGTACCTACCTATATTTATTAAAACTTAAATGACGTATGGTAATTAAAAAATTAAGCCTAATAAGTACTTATTAAAAAATAAGAAAGAAAATAATTTTGTTTCACTTTTTACGTAGTAAGTACTTAATTTTATAAATGGTGAATTGGCGTGTATACCTAGAAATATTTTCTTTCTGAACAAATCCTAATAATACTATCGTCAACCCAGAACTTACAACTAAACTTTTCATTAACTAAAATCGCGGGTTACACACGTGAATATACTGAGAATAGCTCTACTAGTTTCGCAACACAGAGGGGTTCTTCCTCATGAGCAGCATGCGACGTCGCCGCGTTAGTTAATTTAGTATGTCTCACGATAGTATTATAAAAACACAAACTTTTCATGTTAAAAATACACATAAAATGTACTTACATAGTCTTCATTTCATGTTGAAGTTGTGTCGACCGCATCACGTACTTGACTCCGTTCCAGCATGCACCGTTGTGTTCACAAATACTTAACACTCAAGTGCTCAGTGAAAACCACACAATACAATATTTGGAGTCATAATATAGCTACTTTCATATCTACGGTACCTACCAATATTGTAAATTAGCTTTACTTAGGTAAATATAGGTAAATGTTTAAAAGCTGATTTTAAATTAAATGCACAACAGTTCTGAAAATGACCTAGTTGCTAGTATGCTCTTTGCATCGAATGGAATCACCTAATCATTTCGTGACCGTGCCTTTTATCCCCGAAGGTGTAGGCAAAGGTGTACACAGAAGTAACACCCACTTTTCACTATTTATGTTATGAGTCCCATGTAATAAAGGGTGAGCCTATTGCCATATACCGGTCAAATTTCCAGACTCCGTGCTAGTACTGAGATTTTTTTTAAAAAACCCAGTAAATCTTTGCCCGACCAGGGAATCGAACCCAAGACCCCTTGCTCGGCAGTCGCACTTGCGACCACTTAGCCATCGAGGCATGTCTCAATTTTCTAGGGGAAAATAGCCTTAATACTACTATTGCAGACTATCTATTTCCGCCACAAATTAACTGTAATATTAGACCTACTGAACAGCAGCTTTTGCTAATCTGTACAAACAGAGACAACCCGTCAGACAGACAAGAAAAACTTAAGTACTTATTGTATTAAGTGAATGGTGGTTCAGAATTGGTTGCTATAGAATCGAATAAGTATATAGAAGAACATAAACACCTTAATAATGAAGACTACTATTTGAACAAATAGGAATACACCTTGACCTCTCCTTGACCACAGTTTTCAATTCATTCCAATACAATAGTGTATTGGATACTGCTATAGAGCAGTACAGCTACTTATCCACTACACATAGAGTAACAATATCGACTTTAATTGCGAACTACACAAAGTCGATGTTCTTTATAGAATTTTTCGAATCTTTCAAGGTTGCAGAACATGAGGTCTTGAGTATCTACAATTGTCAAAATATACCAACTTCTGTCTGGAAACGCGAACCTGGAAATGAATCAACATAAGTAATTAGTACGCCACCTGAACTCTCTGTGGTAACGTGTCCAATTGCCGTACCCTATGGATAATGAGAAACTATACGAACTGAAGAGATACTTGGGTAGGTATCTCTACACTAAGTAGAAATTACCTCTTTCAAGATCCAAGAAGATATGACACAACATTCCTCTTTGTTAGTGCTTTTTTAACAGGGGGAAAATCATCGAATAACTGCTCCCGCCTGGGTGAGGCGGGAGGGAGTGTCAGACTCTTACTGACTAAAAATCACCCCGTCCTTCTCCTGCGGAGCCCCGGTAACCCGTTAGGTTCTCCGCGACTCCGAATCTTTGTTAGTGCCTAGGTACCTAACTTCATATGCCCCTCTGATCACGTTTCGCGCTATGCCAAAAATACTTACTGCACCAAATTGCAACAATTGTCCAATCGACTCCTAGATCGTAGCAACGTGACCCAGTAGTCTCCTCTCTCGACTCTAGGAGTGTCATTTGTGTCTACGTCAATCGGTCAAGTGACTCAGCTGTGAATCGTGACCATTTGTGACCTCCTTACTTAGGAAGGTTATTCTAAGTGACATTCTCCGGTTCCAGAATGAACCTAAGATAAGTAGCTATCTATAACTTAGCTATAGGTGTAGTGATCTTCAGTTAGTCAGTTAAAGAGGTAGATGTAATAGGTACCTACTTACTACTGCCTCATTGGCCGATTGGTCGCAAGTGCGACTGCTGGGCAAGGAGTCTGGGGTTCGATTCCCGAGTCGGGCAAAGTATTACTGGATTTTTAAAAAACTCAGTAGTAACACGGTGTCTGGAAATGTGCCCGGTATATGGCAATAGGCTCACCTCCTATTACATGGGACTCATAACATAAATAGTGAAAAGTGGGTGTTACATTGTACAGTGGCATTAAGTGCCGTAATGTGCGCCTCTGCCTACCCCTTTGGAGGATAAAAGGCGTGATGTTATTTAATGTAATAGGTACCTATAAAATGTGCAGTATTGTTAGTCAGTGTCCAAAACAAAACAAGTTAACTTGTAAATATAGGAACCTAATCATACAAATATAACTAGGTATAATTAGCACTGCATTAATGATATCAATGCTTCCTATGCAATAACGGATAACCTAAATTGAAATACAAATCAATATTTAATGAAACTGTCGTTTCAATAATGTACCTAGGTATACCTACGCGACTTGATCTCTCAACAAAGCTTCGCGTCGGCTGCCTGTATCGGAATCTCGTTTTATCTGCATTTAATAGTCAGGTTGAACGACCGCTGCAACAAGGAAAGTGACCCAAGCCCCGGCCTAGCCATTATCTCTAGGTATTAGCAAATTTACGATGCACGGATGCATGTGATCATGTCGTGTACGGTGCATCGCCGGCTTCGCGCCATCTCACGATACTTAGTGGTTGAACTTAGACAAAGGCTTGGTGACTTGCAATTGATTTTACCATCTAAGTAGGCATTTCCCTTTATACTTTCCTGTAAAAAAATTATGATCTCTATCTAATTAATTTTTGAAAAAAGTAGGTCATCCATGGACGTAGGCCTTACCTAAATAATTTCAAATGTAATAGCAAAAAAATTAATAAATAAACGAGTCATTAGGTCTAATCATATTGGCTGGCATACGTCTTATAAAAATATTGATTTGTTTCGTTTATGTTCACTACATAACGTAACTACCTACCTACGTATTTATTTGTATAGAAGGTATTATAATAAACGTACCTATATTATAGGTAGTTGTTAAATTGAATAAATTTTATATGCATAGCATTATCACGTTTAATATATCATGAAAAATGGCGGACGTATTTGCAGTATAATATTAATATTGTTTCAATAAATATAAACACATAAATATCTAAATACCTAAATACCTTTCGATAAGAAGATTGATAGGTTTTTACACTTATGTAAATAATTAATAAGTATTTACAAGCCTTGAAATCGTACATAGGTACGTACATAAATCAAGATTTTTCGCTAATTACATCTATCACAGTCAACTAGAGGTCGATGTACTTACGTTGTGAAATTATTTTTTTAAATTTATGCTAAAGAGGTATTAAAATACGTAATGTGCGAATAATTATGTGTTTGGGCAGTACCTACCTAATTCTGTAATGTATTGTGACCATAAAAAATATGTTAGAAGATTAACTAAACTACGTAGTAATTTACTAGGCAGATGCTAAGGTATCTGAGTTTGCTAGATTGATTTGCCTATGGTGTTTTTGTTACATAGGTAGGCAGGTCTTTTATGTTCTTGATAACTCGGTAACTTGAAACTGAAACTAAGTACGTGCTTGACAGTCGCGCTTGCGGCTATTAGACCATCGAAATATTTCTTGGACAAATAAAAATCTACATCGCTTTAAGACATTAAAAAAAGATGAGTTCTCACTCTACTGCATTGAATGTCCTACTTTTGAAAATTGCCAACGATAAAAATGTTCTACTATCAAACTGCGCTGGCCTTGAGGTCACAAGCCTCAGGAAGTAGGTTATTACGGTGTACCAAACGATAAGGGGATCACATTCCAACTACTGGCCAATTTACTGGTTACAATTAGACGTAACTGCAACTACGAATAATCACATTTGCACTCAATTGCCTACACTATCCCATACACGTGGTCGGTGATACTATTCACGTCATCAAAACCTTTCCGTTTCCAGCTGGACATCATGCTAGGTGCTAAGCATTTTTTTTTTTTTTTTTTTTAAGGGGGTATAATCATCGAATGACTGCCCCCGCCTGGGTGAGGCGGGAGGGAGTGTCAGACTCTTACTGACTAAAAACCACCCCGTTCCTTCTCCTGCACGTCGAGCCGGAGCCCCGGTTACCCGTTAGGTTCTCCGCGACTCCGAATCGGCATCGGCCCTATTGGGCCCCATCTGTGGTGGTCTGATGGCTCTTTGAGGCGCGCGCGGAACGCGACGCGCCGTACGCTCGGGTCTGTTTCTGGTCGGACGGGGAGCCACCCATGCTCGCCGTCCGCAGGCCCGCGCTTACGGTGGCCGGAGATCGTCCCGCGATCCCCGACGCCCGGTGTGTCCTTCGCGATGGCTGGGTTGCGAGGAGGCAGCGCTTCGCTGCCTCACGCGTCCCGCCTCCTCCTTAGCTAGCATGACTGCTTCGCAAAAGGAGGAGACGGCATCCCGTTAACCTTTCCGTTTCCTGCTGGACATCATGCTAGGTGCTAAGCTAGTCATATCATACTAATAATAATTTCTCTATCTTTGCAGAGGCTCGTCCCAAATGGCAAGTCCTGCCACCCATGCCAGGCTACGTGCCAGTCTACATCAGGCCGGGCGACACCCCTCTTGAAGAAATCAACCTGGACTTAGCAGAGGCCTTCCATGAACTGCCCTCAGGAAGGAGCGTGGGCAAGCAAGTGGAGGCTTCTCCTGAGGCCCCAGAGCAAGCAGACCAGCCCCAACCAGACGAGGTCCCAGCCCCCGCCGACGAAATAGTCGACCACCGTCCATACGAAAAGAAAATTCTAGAAAAGAAAAAGAAAACCGACTCCGAAATCCCCAAACCGATCGAACGTAGATAGATAAAAACGTACTTAAGCCCTTTATTTTTAAGTTATTAATATTAATTCTAAAATAATAAACAACAAATTTCGAATACTCAGTTTTCTGAAAGCTTGCCATTAGCTTTATTTATTTGAAGTTATTTATTTAACTCAATGTGTAATCGTAGCTGTTCGCCATCTTGTATTTAGAGTACTATCGATTCTTATTGAAGTAAATAATTTATTTCTATTTATGTTTGTTTTATTGTTGTGACCCTGACCATAAGTGCATGGACTGGAAACATGTTAGCTGCCTAGCTGATCTTAGTAGTCATTTTATGAATTATCTATGAACGTATGTCACATCTACTATCATAACCAAAGATTAATTACACAGTAAAACGACAAAATACTAGAAAATATTCTTATATTTTAATTGATTCTATCTATGATACAAGTACAACAGTTCTTAGTCCTAAAGTACAGTCCGTACAATAGTATCTCATTCAAGTCTATTTCTTTTACAAACCATTAATATCACCTAATATTGTACATCTGCACCTATATCTATTTACAATTACATTCAGATATTCATTTACAATACAAAAGTAATGTCTTTCAAATATAACATCACTGTTTATGAACTTCACACATCGATGAAATGCCTATTTTATTACACAATAATACAATTTCCAGAAGTAGGTCATCGGAAACCACATGTAAACATGCGTTAAAACACTTCAGTCAGCAGTTTTAAATCGAACCATACGATCATACAGGTTATTCACCTGCCATATACATCGTAGGCAAGCCATTGCATCATACTGACCAGGGTGCTTACTCTTGAAACCAATCTCAATGACAATGCAATTTCAATCCAATAAAATCTCAATAATTATTCAATGTCAAAACTATACAACCCTTATCGAAGCTGTTAAAATAGCATTCAGAGTACGGAAATATAAAGCCAAACTCAATACCATTTAGTTCAATAAATATCCACGCAATACGAATGCAATGGGCGCTAGTGTTTCACCTCAAGAGTACAAAATTTCACAATACCAATGTCGATCGATCGGAATTGGACTCAAGAGTAAGCCCCCAGAGCCGTGTTACCCTCAAGACAAACTAGGTGCTTAAGGCGCCACGTTCCAGAGGGCGTCATCAGACGCGCATGTTTTACTGCCCAGAAAGTGACGGCGGCGCCAAGAAAAAATATATAAGTACCTTATGAAGTGCTTGCCTATGGCGCACTCTAGATTTAATCTGCCACTGATACTGGAACACCCTGCACTAATGGAACCTTAATCTTTCCCCAATCAAAACTTCTACTGTAACTCATTAGTTATTTTAGTTACTGTAACTCAGCAGGACACAAGAATTGCACCAAAAAGTCCTGAAAAGGGTCCGGTTTATAAACCAGCTGTGATTATGAATCTTAACTCAACGTTATTCAGAACAAAATTATTTAAGTTTCTGTTAATTAACTCCTACTACTCAACTAAAGAATTGCTCGATGACAAAGCTTGCAAGAACATTGTTGTAGAATAGTGCATATATTTATAAGTAGAAAATAAGTGTAATATTTGTACACCGATTCGGTAGAATGTATGAGACATTAATTGAGATGAAACACCTATTGTAACTACATTCTGACAAATACATTTTTCTTTATTTCTTTCACAAGAACTCAAAACCCAATACTATATTAAAATTTCAGATACATTTAATATAAATTAACCAATTTCCTATAAAATACACTAAGTTATGACCGCCGCATCGTCAACATAACGTTAATCTCCCATATGATTGTCCTCAAGTTTGTTATCACTTCCTTCAACTGCTTATTTTTTAACACCACCTGTGAACAAAACATTATTCATTTAACAAAATTAATTAATGATTCTATCAATGCAATAAGGTACCACCAGTAATCAGCAGCTGTGCTATTTAGCGCTTGTCTACAATAAAACTAAATTATAAAGGATTGACGTAAACGTTGACACTTGTCAGTGTCCCCATACATTTAGTTTTCTATTCTCTCGGTAGACAAGCGCTAAAGTGGCGTTTGGCTAAAGGCACAGGGCCGTCTTAGACTACGCTGCGGCCCTTGAGCACACAATAAATCGAGGCCTATTTCGAATGATTCTTTTTTTAACGTTGCACCACATCACATCATTTATCGTGGGTGCATTTACAAATATACAAGTTGACATATACCTGACAGATCCGAAAAAACTTGAGGATCACACAAAGATTGGCTCCATACGGGAATCGAACCCGCGACACGTTGGAGCAGCCGGTTGCCACGAAACGTGTAGTAGCAGGTGTGTATCCGTCATACAAATTATCGGTCTTTCGGCACCCCCTGTGGACAGGGGCCGTGGGTACGGACTCCGGGTGGGCCCGGACCCGTACTGTACCCAGGGCGTTAACCCAGGGGTAAGGTAAAGACGGTACTGACAGTAATTGTAATCTCTGTAGACATCCAAATAACAACTAGCCTAACAATCTAATATGGAACCATTGCTCTGCAGTAGAGTTTGCAGTTTCAAGTTACTGGACTATTCAAATAATTTGTATGTATATCTCACCTGTTCTGTCAGTTCTCTATTCTCCTCTAACGCTAGCCTGTATGATTCAGTGTTCCTTCTTTCATCCAACGCCTTATTTTCTGCTTCATCCTTCAGTGGTATGAGACTTTCCATGTGAGTATATTCCATGCCCTGTAAAAAACCAAGATTTTTCTTAAAATACAACTAAAAAATCTATGGCACTACTAAGAAGTAATTTAATGTCTTATGCAATATGTTGGTAACACCATAACTCGACGCTGGTGCCATCTAGTGAGAACTTGCAACCATAGAACTCTTAGAAGAATCACTATTCACTATTATAATTCTATACTATTCACTTGCTTGATGCTTTTAAAGGTCTTGTCAAGAAAAAAAATATAAATGATGGTGATTATGACTTATATCATTATTTAATATTTTATGAGTACTTATAAACTTAGAGTACCTGGCATGTCTCATTACATTTCTCGTATATAAGTCGAAGCCTCTTGAACAGGAGTCTGATTGTGCGCAGCTGTTCCTGCATTTTCGCTTTCTTCTCATTACTTGTATTTTCACCACTATGTGTACCATTTGGTGGCTAAAAATGACAAAATATAATTATTGACACGTCCTAATATGTGGTGGACCACTACGAATGAAAAAAACCAAAGAAGCTGAGAGGGGGTAAAAGATTATGAGTCGACAACTAGCCATCGGAAGAGAAATTAAGAGGGCAGGGGAAAAGTTGACTTCTAACGACAGTGGGGGGCAAACGGACAAAATATTAAGTGTGGGAGAATAGGCCGGCTCGACCGGATTGATACCACGGCCTCAATGAAAACCCGCGTGAAACGACACTTCCGTCGTGTTTCGTCGTGTGAGTGAAGTTACCGGAGGTCCAATTACTCTCCTCCCCAATATCCCCAACAATCCTCAAATTCTTACTCAAAAGGACAATGAGGCACTTGTAACAACTCTGGTGTTTCAAGTGTCCATGGGCGACGCCGATTGCTCACCATCAGGTGATCCGTCTGATCGTTAACTGGCTTGTTCCATAAAAAAAATTAGTACATGGATGACCTGCAGGAATACTGGTAACAAACCAAATGAATCACAAGCATTGGCTAGTGTTACGTTGCAGAGTATGTTATCGAAGTAAAACAACTTTTGCTCCTGTTTTCTATAACATCACTCTCGACATGTGTATGTGAATCTTATAGTGCTTTAAAAACTCACCTGAATTGCTTTCAAAGTCTGGAAAACATCCTGTGTTCTGCTCACAATATCTTGCACTGTCTCCTGCCCAAATCTGAAATAATTAAGAATCTATTATTATCTGCAGTAACAATATATTTGAATGTTGCATTAAACTGTCAAACACAGTGTGGACACCGATTACCGCAACCTATTGTTCTTTAATTGTGTCTATAATGACGGTACTCAAAGGGTTAATTAATATAATATGACAAAGATATGACATCACTTTATGTGATGGCACTTGCCCTGCTTGCCAGTATTGTAAGAGCCAACTAAGGGACTAGACATTTAACATAACAGTGCGTCATCATTCTTCAACAGAATTTGAACCTTTTGAACAGTGAACAGATGAGAGATTACGACAAACCCCTTAAGTGTAGGACCACAATCTAGCCTGCAATGGATTGTTGATGTTGATTTGACAATATCTCTTTAGGACTTGATTTTGTGTAGAAATAAATAAAGAGGTCATAATAATTATAATCATTTATGATAGTGACTGTCAGACTAAGCTTGCTAGTTCCAATTTGTGTTTTAAAATAATACAATGTAGGTACATACTTGCACAATGATGCAGTGTTGAACTCCTTGTTCTGTGGTGGCTGTGCAGCCGGTGGCTGAGCTGGAGGAGGTGCTGTGTTGTTTGACACTGGACCGCCAGTCTGCATGCCTGGAATATGATGATAAATTTATTAAAACACTGGTTTTTTAACAAGATTTCATATAATCACTGTTATCTCTGACAGTTAAAATTAATAACCAATACTGCCTCGTTGAACAAGGGGAACCTGAAACCCCTTGGCTGGCAGGTCAGGTTTGATTGTCGGGTCAGGCAAAGCTGGGTTTTTATTCTCAGTAGTAGCAATGAGTCTGGAATGGGGATGATGACAGGGTATGAAAATTAAAAATATAATTAGTCCGTAACTTAGGTAATAAAAAAATATTAGACACGTATTTTTTTATTTTGTTGTATAATAAAACAATACTTAGATAAAACGAATCAAAGTTTAGGAGTGGGGGCTAAAACGTCATTTCTTAGTATAAAATGTACTGAGAAGTGACGTCACGCGACATTTCAAATCAATATATCTTCGAAACTATTCGTTTCCGTAAGAAAATAAAAAATACGTGTCTAATGTTTTTAAATAATCTACCAGACGGACATTAAAATAAAAATTAGTCGTCTACCCCATTGTGCCCGGTATATGGCAATAGGCTCCCTATTACATGGTACTCATAATATAAATAGTGAAAAGAGGGTGTTATATTGTACAGTGGCATTAAGTGTCGTAATGTGCACCTCTACCTACCCCTTCATGGATATTATGTTTTGATCTATTGAGATCCAGAGATTTTGATTAACTGAAATTTAGGGTGAAATGTATAATCTAACACAAGCATTGCTTCATGTCGGTTTTCTGTGAAGCTGTGGTATCACTCCAGTAAAGCAAGCCCATACATGCCGAAGCATGACTCTCCCACACTTAGAAACAGTGTTAATATAAAACAATCAATAATACCTGACTGTTGAACTTGTTGAGGAACCATACCGGTACCAGGCCCTGCATTGACTCCTACTCCCATACCCTGAAAAAAAACACATTACATAAATTATTAATATCAGAGTCCAATCATAAGATGCAATTCTGATTTTATGCATCATAAGGCTTATTAGAATGCCAGGTTGTGAATGATAAATAATATAAAATGTGACAAAATTCGTTTCTAACTCCTTCAGAGTTAGTGTAATTAAATTATGGAATGCACTACCCCATAGTATAAAAATGGCTCCAAACAAAATGGCTTTTAAACGTAGTGTTCGTGAGGCCTATTTAAAGGCGCTACAACGCTGAGTTCGTGTCTTCTTTAATTTATATCTTCGTCAATTTATATTATATTATAATTATATATATGAAGTTATTTATGTATGTACATATTTTGTGTTTATTATATATTTTTATACAGTAGGTTATACAGTATTTATTATTACTATTAGTTATTTATTTTGTTTTTTTTTTGGATATTACACAGGCCCATTTTCGCTGAGCTTACATTTAACCCAAAGGTTGACTGGGAGAAAATGCCATATGGCATTAAGTCCGCCTTATGTACATTATTTTGTGTGCATTAAAGTGTAGGTATTAAAAAAAAAAATTCAACTTTGCATAACCTCTAGACTGTTTGTTTTGGATAACCCTAAAACTGACAGCAGTAACACAATTTATTACACTAGTTAACAAAGGAAGTGCTACAAAGGAACTGACTTAACATGTTCCACCAACTCGTCCAGAAAGTCCATGTAAATTTTATTATTCCAGTACCATAGACTCGCCTGGTCAGTCCAACGCAAATTGTAGGCGGCATCCAAGAAAACATAGTAAAAATCATAGTGGTAATGAACATGTTATAACAACTTAAATACCATACCTGAGGTCCCATACCCATGTTTCCCATCTGGTTCTGCATGGTAGCTCCATAGGATGGTACCATTTGATTACCCATACCCACCATACCACCAGAGTTAGCCATGGGCCCGCCCATTACTCCTGCAAATCATCATTACCAATAAATTAGATCGCAGCAAGAGCGGATTTAGAAATAGTACATATTATTAATTGATTCCTAAGGTAGAAAAGATTTGTATATTATAGAGATAGGTAGAATATTATATTGGGTACCTAATTACTAAGAGCATGTAATGCAGCAAATTTCAGCAGATAACAAATATAAATACCTACTAAACAATTACAAAACATTTAATACTTCAAACGCTGCTTACTTTGCCTTTATATGGAATCTTCGATAAAGTTTGTATATTTAATTGATTCTGGCTTTTAATAATGTATTTTTATAAGATTTTGATAAAGTATACCTGCTAATTGATTCGGCATAGCCTGCATTTGTCCAGTCATGGGTCCGGCACCGAATCCAGAACGCATACCAGCAGCATTCGCTTGGAAATTGCCAGGGAACTGATGCCCTTGGCCAGCCATGGCTAATTTAATTATTTATTGGGGCTCAAAAGAAAACTATCGGATAATAACAACAATAAATAACCAACAGACTGAAGCAAACTGCAACTGCAATACAAAGTGCTTGTCGTCTTTAAATGTCACTGTCACTTTTTGCCAATTGTCAAAGTTATTCTTAATAATTATTTTGAGCACAAAGTCTTTTTAGATTACTAAAAATATAAAAGTAATATTAAAATTAAAAAAAAACATATTATATTCCTTACTAGTTATACTTACTGTATCACACCTATCAGTATATAATAAGTATCTGCTATCCACCTTATACTGTCGCGGAGAACCTAACGGGTAACCGGGGCTCCGGCTCGCCGTGCAGGAGAAGGAACGGGGTGGTTTTTAGTCAGTAAGAGTCTGACACTCCCTCCCGCCTTACCCAGGCGGGAGCAGTCATTAGATGATTTTCCCCCCTTAAAAAAAAAATCCACCTTATACTAACCCACCTACTTATACTTTAGAAGTCGGTGCCAAAAGCTCATATCAAAATGATGTAACTTAATGGTCACAAAAGTGTTAACAATAAAGTTTTAATGAATAATTTTGTTTAGAACTTATGGCGCCGACTATAAGTGTATTATAATTTAGTTTTTACATTTAGTTTGTTTTTGTTTTTGGGTTTTTTGAAGTCGGTTTTTTAAACGCAGTTTTTATCGATGTTTTTATTAGGTGATGTTATGATGCGCATTATTGCCAATAATGCACAGCGTTCTCTCGCTAATCTCGTAGCCGTACAATCCATGGACTCCACTGACGATTGAACGCTGCCATGTAGTATGAATTACAAACTACTAAAATCTAGCACTGTTTTGTGCTACGGACTACGCACGCACTACCATCCACATTCTACCACCTACGGGCTACGAACCATGTGCTACGAAGTAATCGTGTCATACGGACTACGCGCTACGAACAATGCGCTATGGACTACGTGCTACGAGCGACGGCTGTTGTTGACGATTTTGTCGGAACTTAAATGTTAAATTAGTGCTTATAGATAAGGCTTGACTTGACATGTAGGGCTTTTTTAAGGAAGGAAAATCATCGAATGACTTCTTCCGCCTGAGTGAGGTAGGAGGGAATGTCAGACTCTTACTGACTAAAAACCACCACTACTCCTGCACTTCGAGCTGGAGCGCTGGTATCCTTTTACGTTCATCATCATCGGTATCAGCCCTATTGGGCCACATCCGTAGTCGTAGTGGTCTGATGGCTCTTAGAGGCGCGCGCGGAACGCAACGCGCCGTACGCTTAGTCTTATTCTGATCGGGCAACGAGCCACCCATGCTCCCCGTCCGCAGGCCCATACTTACGCTGCGCGCTGGCCGGAGATCCCCGACGCCCGGAGTGTCCTTTGCGACGGCTGGGTTGTGAGGAGGCAACGCTTCGCTGCCTCATGCGATGTTGACATTGGCATTTATAATCAGAAACATAGCTTTACATGAGATCTAATTAGTTTTTGACAATATGAGTGGTACGATCGTGTCTCGTCGAGTACCGTCATTATAGACACAATTAAACTGTCAAACACCAAGCGGTCACCGGTGACCGCAACCTATTGTTCTATAATAATTGTGTCTACAAAACCGGTACTCGACGAGTTAAAGAACAATAGGTTGCGGTCACCGGTAACCGCTTGGTGTTTGACAGTTTAATGATTAATGGTCTCATTGTAACAACGAATCTTTGGTTTTGGTCAATGGTTTCCTTATCTTAACTCTTTCCCAGGCGTGAATAAAAATTAAGGTAAGGAGTAGGTGTCGTGGGATTTCATATATTTATGAATCAAAGGAAGGTAAAAAAAAACGGCAAACGTATTTAATTCTGAAGGGATGAAGAAACACACATACCTACACAGAGTAACATAATAATAGTCGAACCATTGCCATATGACCAATTGCAAAATCCTACCTCTAAAATCAATAGATACAAAAAAATACGAATATCGCAAATATCGATCCGGAAATCAAACTCTATTGAGTATATTAATTTAATTATTGTCATTTAGTCATTTCCCACAACAACAATAGACAGTACCTGAAGTGGAAACCTACATTTAGTTGATCATCGTAAGGTAGAATTGTCAATGCCAAAGTCGGATCAATTTGTGACAAAACAGATGAGATCACAACGTATTTTTTAACAAAACTAGGCTCACATTAACTGGTCCAAAAATAACAACCGTCTGAACTATTTAATTTATTTCTACTTTTCTTTTTTTTTTAATGAAGTACCTATCTGTCATCAGTGAGACCTACTTAATGGAGAAATGCTCTCTGGTATTTTAATATCCACTTTTTTTAAGTTATTTTTGTGCATCATCTTTGTCAAACGGACAGGCATCTTTGGAACGACGCCAAGGTGCCGCGACACATTTTTTCACTTCAAACATATTTTTCTTTACTGAAAATAGATTTAAAATGTTCCACATAGAAATATCCGCCCCGTCAGAAGCGATTAAAAAACATTTAATGTACCTTAAAAATTTATTTTCCATTTTATTTATATTAACCTAAATTAAGTACGATATTATAATTTAAAGTAATTATAACAGTTATTAAGTATTTATTATGAATTCACGTTCATTTTATTGGTATGCAATACATAAAATATAATAGTTATTGTGCTTAAAATTACTGTGAATGAAATGCACTATTATGGACAATTCAGTGCGAGATGCCGCTCTGATATTTAATTTATACAATTGATGATATGTGTATATATTTAGTGTAATATATAACTAAGTACAATATTTCATCTATATAAGGCAAGATGGCCACGTCTATGGCTAACTGTTCCTTTAGTACGCATCTACTTAAAATATTATTCTACTTACATTTAAAAGTATAATGAATGTATATAATTCTATATATTGGACCGAATCTTGTGTTTTCAACTGTGAAAGCTCCGGGAGGTAAGAGATTCGATTCGGTCGTTAAATATTCAACAATTTTTATTAATCTTCCACATAATAAATAGTTATCAACATGTAGATTTACAAATATCAACAAAATAAATTACGAATAACAGAATATTACAATTACCATTAAGCTTATACGCTATGTATCAATGATACCTACCTACTCGAGCTATCGCCCCTAACTTGTACTATGTCGCCGTCCATGTCCTCGCCTTCACTTTACTTCAATTTCATTCCCTTCCACATACTTTTATTGCTGCCAAACGAAATAAACAGTTAGTTGCATGTATTGTGTCACCTTTTTAACGAAAACAACTTAAAGATCATCGTGTTCTGGTATTATATGCATTGAACCAGATTGTTAATCAGATTCACCTAAAAGGTGCTTTAATAGGGCGGCCGGCGACTGCCTATAATTCAATACATTAAAAATACATGGACTAGTAATTGAATTAGTCTAACTATCCCTAAAAATAATTATATTATATGTCTACACTTATAGTTCTTACGAAGTAATAAGATGTAAGTACCCTAAACCGCTTTGGAGAACAAAACTAAATGTAATTAATAGTTTAACATTACAAGGGCGTATAGATCGTGTACAAAAAATATTGACGTTTCTTCACTGAGACAATAATAAGTAGATTACTTAAAATTATATTAATTACTTAACCCTTTATTGCTCTCCCTCACACTTAAGCTAATTCAAGTCCATTTTAGGACTATTGAGCAACATGGACACGTTAATACAGAACTAGGAAACCTAAGTAATTATCTATGGCGTCTTATAACCAACACATCGACTAATATTAGCTTCATTTTGAATGAAGGGGATCATGAAAGTCTCCATGTCTTGTAATCTTGTGTTTGAGTACTCAAATGCCACTGGATTTTAAGTCGCTCTCGAAAATATTTCTATTTGCGTATAATATGACAGAAATAGAGATATTCATGTTCAACTTAAAATCGAATAGCATTTCAGTATTTGGTCGTAAATGTGTTGTAAAAGCTGAATTCTCTTTTCCGATGCTTACTTTTTATTAGCTACATTTTTACAGGAAAGCTTTAGGCCAAGATAGCTGGATATTCGATCAAAAAGTACTTGATTGAGCCATTGGTTTCGTTCTAAGTCGTCCAATAGATTGATAGCTGTATTTAATAATATATTTATAACATCTTAATTAAGTAAATAGCTAAGTATAGTGGAAATTATGGACAGGAAGTACACAAGTATGTGTGAGGATAAAATTAGAAGAATTTTAAACTGTACTCGATTATAAGCAGACTGTCAGACAGTTAATGTGTTTGCACAAAATGTTTATCGATAAAATAGATGCCAAATACATGAGGTTATAACGAATCGATGATTAATATTTTGTACCAACTTATAGATCCACTCATGCGCAGCGTCTTCAGTTTCCATAAATAACTGGTGCGCGAGCGACAAGCGAATAAGAATTTAGACTTTATTCAACCGAAGATAATGAATACTTTATTTTTATAATGAAGATAAATCTTTGTTTAACTCTATCTATTTATTGTCATTTAACAGCTATCCGCTTTTAAATGTTATTTTCATCTATAAATTAATTAAATAGATATTTGAATAAGAAGGGTATCTACTATGAAAATATATCTATCGTCTATTTGTAGGTACGTATAAAAATATGTGATGTTAGGAAGTTGTATGAATGAGGCAAGAATATTTCAACATAGCTTTGTATATGTTTGTATCTTAGGTATAATTGTATTGGTGTGTTATAATTCTACATACTATTTAAGTACGTAAGTATTACTACATAGTTTCACCACCGACTGGTTAAGTACCGAGGTCTTAATTCTAAATAAAAAGCTCTTAGCCTTTGGTCATTCTTTAACATTTTTTGGTTTATGGATTCAACTAGATTCTAGACATGAAGTCTATCTATATTTGGCCTTTCTTCCATCAAAGTGTAATACAATTGTCTAATGCCATGGTTTGCTGTCGTCTTTAGCTACCGCCCGTCGAGACGCCGATGGCTATCAGCTGTCATAACGTCCTTTCATTCCACATTCAGACCTAAGGTATGTCCTCGAATTCATTACTGGTGATACTTGTAGAAATGTAGACATTGTTTCTTTAAAACTCAGATCTGTATACTAACATT